CTCCTCAGACAGACTGCTGCTGCTGCTGCTGATGATGATGATGATGATGATGATGAAGAAGATGATGAAGGTTTGTGTTTGTTTGACCTTTAGACCACAGACGAGAACTGGAAGCTCTGCATTCTGAACGAGGCTGCAAAGATCATCTATAAGGTGAGAAAAATACAATATGGCTTCATTATTGTTCCAGAAAATAATGTTTTTGTAAATTGAAATAAAACAAAAAGTATAAATAAAATTTTGGAATTAATCAAAATATCAGAAAAGATTTTCTCGTATTGTTACTTTTTTGTTTTATTTTTTTTGATAATTTAAAAATAATTTTATTTTTACATATTTTTTTTTTTTTTTTACAAATTTTGGTTTTATAGATTATATATTTTATTTTTGTTAAATTCAGATTTTGTATTTTCAGTTTTTATTTAATCTAATTTGAAATTTTTAGATAAAATTGTACGATTTGCAAAACATCCGATTTTCTAGAATTTTGTGGGTTAGCTTAACTGTGGTAAGGAGAGAAAACGCATTTTAATTGGTCTGTGTGGACGTTAGCAACAACATTTTTATTGGTCAATGTGGGCGTCAACGGGGCGTGTCAGTATGGGGCTTGAATAAATGATCCTATATATATATATATATATATCAAATAATTAAAAAAAATAAATTTAATACAAACCCTCATTAAATAAAACTTAATTGAAAGTTGGTTCTGGATTTCTAAATTGCATTTTTTGGTTGTAACAATATTGGAACAAATTTCCCTCCATAGCTCTGCTCACCTTCAGCTGCTTCATAGAATAAACTTTTATGGGTTCTGGACGCTGAAGCAGAAGTTTATGTTCAGCTCTATTAAACATAGCCCCCCCCCCCCATGTCTGTGTTTCTGTCCGTCAGCTGGGCCGTCTGGAGAGTCTCTGTGCCTACTGGAACGTGGACAGCCCCATGTACTACAGGAGTTCATGGCAGGACATCGTAGTAAGTGGATTTCCGTTCTTTGTCTCTAATGAAGCCGATTTTTCCGGATGAAATGATAAATGTGTTGAAGCCCCGCCCCCTTTCCGCCTGCAGGACCAACTGAAGTCAGAGATCAGCAGCAAAGAGCAGCAGATGCCTCATTATCAGTACAGTGAGTTCATCAAACTGTGACTCAGAATCATGTTTCTTTCATCTTTGATGTTTGCCGATGACCTCTGAGAGATGGCGCCATCACTAAATGACATCATTGATGATGTCATGACAGGATGATATTATTAAAGGATGACCTCATGTAATTAAGTCAGAGGCTACGTTCACACGGCAGCCTGAAGTGACCTAAGCGACCTGGATCGGATCTTTTCACGACATTCTTAACAACAAAGATCCGATTTCTTCCAATGCGATCCAGGCCGCTTGGCTGTGTGGTCCTGAATCCGATACGAATCTGATCTTTTCAAATGCGACCTGCGTCTGAACGGCAAGGTCGGATTAATCCAACCCGAAGGTCATTAATACCCGACAAAGGTCACTATTCTGCATCCTGCTGCGCAGAAGCATGAAGAAAAACAGCAACCATGGCGGATGATGATGCGGAGAGCAGTTGTTGTTTTTAACCATCTTTAAAGGAAAGAGTTTTTGAGGTTGCTGGACGAGCTACCATTAATGTTTACTTCCGTAAACGCAGAGCACGCTGGCCTGTGATGTCACTGCGTCCTCTACTGCGCATGCGGGACACTTCAGCTGTTAGGGGTGTAAATCACACCCATCATGGCGATTCGATTCAGTATCGATTTCCTGACCCAACGATTCGATTATTTTCGATACTCAAGAATACACCACGATTCGATTTGATTTGATTCGATTCAATTAATCGATTAATCTTTTTTTTTACACCTTACAGGCTAAACAAAGTTTCAAGTTTGAAATAAATCAATGAAAGCTTTAATATCGTTATACATTTTTTTTAGAAACAAGAGCAAATAATAAGTAGAAAAGTTGCATCAAAAAATTCTGCATTAAATCAGTGCAATGAGTGCGATGCAATACC